TTCTCTCTATGCAATGTAATCTTACTGGAAAGCAACGTCAGCTTTTCCTTATAGTGTCATAAAATGCTTTCAAGAGCACATACCAGTCTGCAAATGGCAGATTTTAGGCCCCATTCACACAAAGGGTCAATGGGGTTCAGTTTTTCAGGCAGACCTGATTGGATGATCCAATCACCCCTATGGACTGGTTAGTGTTATACCCACCTACCTACAATCCAATCCAGTCTGCTAAAAAAAAATAGAAGGGATCTGGCCTCCTCTGTCTGTCTAGGCAGATCAGATAGGGGAGCAGTCGGGTATAAACGGACAGTGAAGTCCATTTAAACCCGACAGCCCATAGATCAAAGCAGGCTCTGTCCATGTCCTCTCTAGATATATTGAGCAAACAATTGAAAAGACCTGTCATTTGCCCGTCCTGCTCTGATCAGCAGTGGATCAGCGGACAGATCCCTTGCTGACCGAAACAGAGTCCACCCCGTGTGGAAAGGGGCCTTATTGTTAGCTTATGAGCACCAATTGATGCTACTTCAGGCAGGATTTGCTTGACCATGGATCTGTTTAAAGAATCAGATGACTAATTAATACTTTCAGCTTAGGTATTGAGGTTAATTTGTAGCCTAGATAACTGTTTCATTTACTGCATTCCTTTGTGTTTCTCCAAAAAGTTCCTTGCTAAAGCAAGTTGTCAATTTTTTTTAATTATGAAAAATATTTAAAGGTTGCTGAGAGTAAATGTCACTTTATGATATAGGTATTTTACTTGTGCAGAAAATGTACCTAGAGACAAATCCTCAGTTACATTAATTATGCAAATCACTCCTTATAATCATTGTTAGGGTTTGTCCTAACTATGTGATAGTTTTATAAAAAGAATACTAGACTTTATTTCCTAAGTGATATAAAGAGATTACTTACAGAACTCCCTGGCTTGTGAAAACCCCTAGGCGGAATAGCATAAGGCCCTTGGGATTATTCTGTGTGAAATGTAGTTACATGTGTTTCAAGGAAAACAATGGATTCAGAGCACCTGAATTTTATCTCTTTTTTTTTCACGTGATAGGTTACTGTTATGCCTCGATAACAAATACAAATAGGGTCAGTCATTTTAAGGTCAATTTCTTCTTGAACAAATATCACTGCAACGCTTTAGTATAGGAAAATGACTTTCTGAATGACTGCCTTGGGTGCAGACCATCTCACATTACTCATTTATATTCATTGTGGTGGTAAGATTTATCAGTAGGCTGACAAGTAAGATGTACTGTAGATACTCAAGCAGTGCTGTAGCCGTGGTAAGGGTAGAACATGTAGCATGTTCCCACTGCTGCAGCCTCTCCCTGATCCACCGTCTCAACTGACAGCAAACTATGAATCTTCTTGCATTCGCTGTCACAAATTTTTAAAAAAAACAAGGCCATGTGGGGCTCCATCCACCCAGCCACGTCATTCTTTCACAGAGTTCTGTGAATGGGAAAACTAAAGGCTGAAGGCTTGCAGTTTTCAGTGAACTTCCAGAGTACGGGTGAGTGCTCAAGGTAGTTAATTGATGGTTCCTGTCATTGTGTAACCACCTACCCATACAATGTGTTTACACTGACAGTCAGCAGGAGCCCTGCATTGCACCCATAATCAGTAGATCACTTTACAGGCTCCTAATAAAAAAAATAATAAATGCACATTTTTTTTTTACCTGAAAGAAGATGTACATTTTTTTTAAAGGTCAACTTATCCTTTGAGCACATGTGATATTTTAGATTTTCTTCTTAATAAACTCACAGACATTTCTAAAATTCTGTTTTCACTTTGTCACTGAGGTGTCCGTTTATGAAACTGAGATTAGCAGCAATCCCGAGGATCGCTGCTGATTTCAGTACATTAGTGGTTTATGAAATAGAGAAGATCAGCAAAGAACATGTCCTCTGTTGATCTTCTCTGCACACAGATGATCTGCAATTGACAGACACAGAAACAGCTAGTTTATGAAGTAGCGATGTCAGCCCTTCACTGGTGATCTGTGTGAAAATTCTTCCTCCCAGATTCTCCAGCCCAGATGTGGAGAATCGGGGAGAGAAAGGAGAATCGCTGGAGTTTTGAGGAGGGAGGAGGACGTTTTTGGACTTTCTTCTTTCTTAAGAGACTCCAAGACAGTGGGAAAGCCCCCCTGCCTTTCACAACACTCCCAAAACCCTAGAGCAGTTTTTATAAATCTATTTGTGTGTGTGTGTGCAAATATAAATACATATATATTTATGTATATGTATGTTTGTATGTGTGTATATCTATGTATGTATATACATGTATGTATGTATGTATATTTGTGTGTATGTGTATATATATATATATATATATATATATATATATACAAACCACATATGAAAGAATAGGTCGCTCTCAGAAGCTCAGTGCATTCAAGCGTGGTACCGTGATAGGTTGCCATCTGTGCAATAAGTCCATCTGTGAAATTCCCTTGCTACTAAATATTCCACGGTCAACTGTTAGTGGGATTATAACAAAGTGGAAGCAACTGGGAACAACGGCAACTCAGCCACGAATTGGTAGGCCACGTAAAGTGACAGAGTGAGGTCAGCAAATGCTGAAGCGCACAGTGCGCAGAAGTCACCAATTGCCTGCAGAGTCAATAGTTAAAGACCTCCAAACTTCATGTGGCCTTCAGATTAGCACAATCTGAAGCTTCATGGAATGGGTTTCTATGGGCGTGCAGCTGCATCCAAGCCTTACAAACCACGAAGTGCAATGCCAAGCGTTGGATGCAGTGATTTCAAGCATGCCACCAATGGACTCTAGAGCAGTGGAGACGTGTTATCTGGATTATGGTGGATATGGATTATGGTGTGGGGTTGTTTTTCAGAGGTTGAACTTTACCCCTTAGTTGCAGTGAGGGGAACTCTTAATGCATCAGCATACCAAGACATTTTGTACAATTTCATGCTCCCAACTTTGTGGGAACAGTTCGGGGATGGCCCCTTCCTGTTCCAACATGACCTTGCACTTGTAAGGTCCATAAAGACTTGGATGAGCGAGCAGTGGGGTGGAAGAATTTGAGTGGTCTGCACAGAGACTTGAACTCAACCTGATAAAACACCTCTGGGATGAGTTACAGCAGAGACTGTGAGCCAGGTCTTCTCGTCCGACATCAGTGTCTGGCCTCATAAATGCGCTTCTGGAAGAATGGTCCAAACATTCCCATAGACACACTCCTAAACCCCGTGGACAGCCTTCCCAGAAGAGTTGAAGCTGTTACAGCTGCAAAGTGTTGGCCAACTCATTATTGAACCCTTCGGACTAAGACTGGGATGCCATTAAAGTTAATGTGCGTGTAAAGAGAGCATCCCAATACTTTTGACAATATAGTGTATTTCAGTTTGAAAATCAAAAATGTGACTGTGCTATGTAATCAAAGTGATATAAAAATATATAAAAAGAAAGCTGCTTGCACAAAATACAGGATATATTATATTGATATTCACTATATTCATAGTCAGTGATAAATTGATATTCATAGTCAGTGAAGTTTCAGACAAACCAACCATACATAATTAATGAACAATATGTCTGCACACTCCCAACTATGACAATAAGTACTACACCCTAAAAGAAAAGTAAAAACTTTCACCCTTGAAAGTAAACGTAATAGTAACTAAACTCTTCTTTGTGACAAAAATAAATCTATCCCAATCTCAACATAAACTAATACATAGATAACTAAAATTAAATAAATATCCCAAAAATAAATAAATTTCCCACAAAATAAATGTCTAAAATGTCTCTGTATATAGTGTCTTTCCAACCTCCAAATCAAATCGTATCACTCTTTAATAATCCAGTGTAGCGATTCCAAAATTCTTTAAATTCTTCGTGAACCTCAAAAAATATAAACTTATGATAGTGTATTACCTTTTTACATAAATCAACCCTACATAATTAGTGACATTCCAAAGTGATGTTAAACAGTGCAAAGTCCATACGCATAAAAGTAATGCTGTGACTGTGATTATCAATGTATTATGTATCCATGTTCATGTGTGATTCATCAAGTGCCACTCCACTTCCACCACCTAAAGGTTTACCAAAGCAAGTGTGACCCCCAAAATATGAGAAGTCAAACCAGAACTCGATGTATACACTGCTCCACAGTTGCAACAGGGTAAGATTCCACCTCTCCTTCAGCCCAAGTGTACTCAGCAACAATTTGCATAAAAAAGGAAAAAAGAAAGAGCACCATGCTCCAATAGTGTGAAATCCACAATAAAAAATGATTAATTCAGTTAAAAATATTTACATAGACATGCAGTGATGTGCGCCACACAAAACTACATTTCCCATGTCACATGTATGACTTCTATCCTATGTGTTTGGTCAGAACTGATGTGATTAGGGCCCCCTGAAGTGCTTATTGAAACTGCACACAGTTGATTCAGGTTTGTGGGCCATTATCAGTACAGTGGATGGAAAACAATAGCTTTTATGGAGTAGGGCTTATGTGATTATCAGACTCTGGTTGGGAAACCTCTTCTGTTGCCATTAATCAGCTTGTGTGAGAAACAAACAAAAATACTTTTCTACTACTGAGCGACTTAAAATCAGGAAATCATATTTCCTGACTTACTATGCAAATTTAAACATTTTATGGGTTTCCTCAAGGTCCTGATTGCAACAACAGTCCCAAAAAACACATAGTTTAGCAGACTTCCACTTAAGGTTTTCATAGATATGTTGATGGAACCACTGTGACATAAAAACACTTGTTTTTAAATCACTCCAGCATGCATGGTTACAATATCTATTATGTAGGCTCTGACACCATTGCCTTACAAGAGAAGTGTTGGGAGTGGTCAGCCAAAAAAACATGTACAGAGGTTTTTCAATTCAACTGGAATCGATTGGATAGCACAATGAGACTATCGTGTTGGGTACCATAGCCGAATTAAAGTGCAAATGTACTCCTTTATTTCACTAACTTTTGTCCTTTCTTTACATTTCAGAATAGTTTCCTCTGTTCAAGGGGTTCTTGCTGCTGTTCTGGAGTCATTGTTATTACATCCTGCAAAGATGTGAAATTTGACAGGTAATTGAGTCAACAATAGTGATATTAATTGTTACTTGAGTTAATGAAATTAGTCTTTAGGAAAAACACACATATTTACTGCTGATTGATGGAGCCTGGCCTCCAAAATCCACTGTTTGTCATGACTTTGCCAAGCGTGGGGGTAGATGTCACCTATGGGAATTGCACCCTATTCCAATCCATCCAAAACAAAACATAGGATACATGATACAGTGTGATTAAACCGAATGGAACTGTCATGAGGATTAAAAGCAATATCTCTAGACAGCCACATACATATTCAAGTGTACCTAAAGTATTGCTACAAAAGGTAAAAATTGTAAATGTACCCACATTTATATATGTTAAAATGGTTGTTGTATCTGAGCTTTAAACAATCATTGACATTCACTATATAGTGCTGTAATCTCTCAACTGTTCCTGTCTGTCTTTCCTCCTCATTTGTCCCTTTTTCTTGTTACAGTGGGGAAAAAAATGATTCGATCCCCTGAAAATTTCGTAAGTTTGTCCACTTTCAAAGAAATGAAGGGTCTACAACTTTTATCATAGGTGTATTTTAAATGGTAGAGACAGAATATAAACCAAAATCCAGAAAAAACATACGATACAAATGTTATAAATTGAGTTGCAGTTCAGTGAGTAAAAGAAGTATTTGATCCCCAAGCAAAACATGACTTAGTACTTGGTGGAGAAATTCTTGTTGGCAAGCACAGAGGTAAGATGGTTCTTGTAGTTGGTTACCAGGTTTGCACACATTTCAGGAAGGATTTTGGTCCACTCTTCTTTACAGATCTTCTCTAAATCCTTCAGGTTTCTTGGCTGTCGCTTGGCAACTCGACATTTCAGCTCCCTCCATAAATTTTCTATAGGATTAAGGTCTGGAGACTGGCTAGGCACTCCATAACCTTAATGTGCTTCTTCTTGAGCCACTCCTTTGCTGCCTTGGCGGTTTGTTTTGGGTCATTGTCATGCTGGAAGACCCATCCACGACCCATCTTCAGTGTTCTGGCTGACTGAAGAAGGTTCTCTTCCAAGATTTTACGATACATGGTCCTGTCCATTGGCCTCTCAATGCTGCAAAGTCGGCCTGTACTTTAAGAGGAGAAACACCTGCTCCGTGCTTCCACCTCCGTGCTTGACTGTAGGGATGGTGCTCTTAGGGTCATAGTCAGCATTTTTCTTCCTCCAAACAGGGCAAGTCGAGTTAATGCCAAAGAGCTAAATTTTGGTCTCATCTGACCACAGAAATTTCTCTCAATCCTTCTCTGAATCATTTAGATGTTAATTGGCAAACTTCAGATGGGCCTGTTCATGTGCCTTCTTGAGGAGGCGGACCTTGTGGGTGCTGAAGGATTTAAGTCCATGGCGGCGTATTTTGTTACCAGTGGTTTGTTTGGTGACTGTGGTCCCAACTGCCTTGAGATCATTCTGGGTAGTGTAGTTCTGAGCTAATCCCTTACTTTTGTCATGATCATCCTTACTCCATGAGGCGAAATCTTGCATGGAGCTCCAGACAGAGGGCAATTGATGGTTATTTTGTATTTCTTCAATTTGCGAACAATCTCTCCAACAGTTGTCTCCTTCTTACCAAGCTTCTTGCTGATGGTCTTGTAGCCCATTCCAGCCTTGTGCAGGTCTACATTCTTGTTTCTGACATCCTTTGACAGCTCTTTGGTCTTGCCCATGGTGGTGCCCAAAAAAGGCATTCTGTGGACAGGTGTCTTTTATACACATAACAAGTTGTCTTTAGGAGCACCTTCTTACATTGACAGGACTAATCTGTGTGCCACATGAGCACATAGCCAGTCTATGGGAGCCAGAATTATTGTTGGTTGGTAGGGGATCAAATACTTATTTTACTCACTGAACTGCAACTCAATGTATAAAATTTTTTCATGTGTTTTTTTGGATTTTTGGTTGATATTCTGTCTCTATCATTTAAAATACTCCTATGATAAAAATTGTAGACCCTTCATTTCTTTGTAAGTGGGCAAACTTACAAAATCTGCAGGGGATTATAGCATTATTTACCCCATTGTAGATCTGATGACTTAAATGATAAATAAAATGTATTATTTAACTACCACATGTATTAGAGCATACTGAATCTTCAGCCTCTACAATTCTGCTATATTTTTTTGAAAATACAGTGTAAAGGAAAAGTAGAAGGTGAAATTTAAGCAATATTTTTTGGCTTATTTATTCATTACAGTCCATGTAACTGAGTGTGTATCCTTTCATGACATACTTTTGCTCAAAGGTGTCCCTAAGATCTATGTTAACTCCGGTATACAGACAGGAGGGAGAACACAGACCACACCTCCTCCTGGCTCTCTCCTCCTCGCTGCTGCTGTCATTACTCCTGTAGTGATGAGGAATGCAGTGGGATGAGAGATTTTGTGCTAGGAGGGGGGAGGAGGAACAGAAGGAGGACATTTGGGGGGGAGGGAATTTGTGTTAGGGGGATTTTGTGTTATGGGGGGTTGGGGGGAGGGGTATTTGGGGGAAGGGGGATTTTTATTGAGGGGGGATTTCTGATTACTATGCGTATGGCACCATCATGACAGCAAGTGCCGAATAAAAAACACAATTTGTGGTAGTGTGCAAAAGAGTCCATGTGTGAAGCCCTCAGACTGGTGTACCATGAGTTTTTGCACAATTCTAAAGGTGCCATGACTAAAAAAAAGGTTGCAAAACACAACCCTATGTAATTGTATGTGCTGAGGAGCAATTCATCCTCACAGCAGAAGGACTGAAGTAATTCAAGTTGTTCTCTTGGAAGCTCAGCTTCTCCGCTCCATCCTTTTACTGTGCACCTACTTTTCATCTACCATAGATAACAGGCTGGAAGATTGTGGGGTAATAGAAGCAAAACAAACTACTGGGAGAAAGCCATGGTGTTTTTTTTTTTTAACTTTGAGGATGAATTGCTCCCCGGTGCCTCCAACCACAGTGGTTAGTGGGGACATTTTTTAAAGCTTGTTTACTTCCTGCTTTCTCAGCTCCTCATCCGCTGAGAAAATGTCTTGCATTCTTTTCACAGAATGCAAGGCATTTTGTGATTGGAAAAGACAAGATTGTAACATTCATCCATATCTCCTCCAATCACAGAACATTCTGCGAAAAGACTGCAAAACATTTTCTCAATGGACAAGGTACCAAGTGAGTGGCTTGCTGTGATCAGTGGTCTCCAGCTGTAACTGTGAGTCTCAACGCTGGACATTTTGCATTTTCTGTACTGTGAGGGCTAAACAAAAGGAAAAGTTTTCCCAAATGCTACACCATAAACAAATGTCACACACTCCATTTAATATTCCTATATTAACCCCTTGATTCTGGCGCCTCCCCGCCCTTTAAGGCAGGCTTCAGGATCATGTGACCACCATGACTGGCTGTCACAGCGGTTACATGATTGGAAAGCTGCAAGCAGCAATCAGGACCTATCCATGAGGCGCTGGTAAATGTGCCAGGAGCATGCAAGGCACGCACTCTAGGCACATGTTTATTTACTTTGGGTACTCAAATATGTAGTCTCTTGGCATCAAGGCCTAGCCACTGAAAGGCCTCATATTTGCCTATAGTCGGCGCCAAGGAGTTAAAGGTCTCTTGCACACTGTACTGATGTATGAGCATCAGACATTCCTGGCAGGAAAAAATGCTAGGATGGGCTGTATATCACTTGTGAGTATTTACGCATATTTGTGAGTATGCACACATAAGCAGGAAGCATGGCATTTTTGCACATACAGTGCTTCCAGAAAGTATTCACAGCGCTTAACTTTTGCTACATTTTGTTATGTTACAGCCTTATTCCAAAATGGATTGAATTAATTTTTTCCCTCAACATTCTACAAACAACACCCCATAATGACAACGTGAAAAGTTAATTTTGAAATCTTTGCAATTTATTAAAAATAAAAAACGAAAAAAAAAAAAAACACATGTACATAAGTATTCACAGCCTTTGGTCAATACTTTGTTGAAGCAACTTTAGCACCAATTACAGCCTCAAGTTGTTTTCAGTATGATGCTACAAGCTTGGCACACCTATTTTTGGGCAATTTCTCCCATTCTTCTTTGCAGTACTTCACTCTTTTAGAGTGACTATCAGGTGCTTGGTTACCTCCCTGGCTAAGGCCCTTCTCCCTCGATCGCTCATTTTGGCCGGGCGGCCCGCTCTAGGAGGATTCCTGGTGGTTCCAAACTTCTTCCATTTACGGATGATGGAGGTCACTGTGCTCATTGGGACCTTCAATGCTGTAGAAATTTTTCTGTACCCTTCCCCAGATCTGTGCCTTGGTACAATTCTGTCTCGGAGGTCTACAGACAATTCCTTGGAGTTCATGGCTTGGTTTGTGCTCTGACATGCATTGTTAACTGTTGGACCTTATATAGACAGGTGTATGCCTTTCCTAATCATGTCCAATCAACTGAATTTCCCACAGGTGGACTCCAATCAAGTTGTGGAAACATCTCAAGGATGATCAGTGGGAACAGGATGCACCAGAGCTCAATTTTGAGTGTCATGGCAAAGGCTGTGAATACTTGTGTACATGTGGTATTTTTTTCATTTTTAACAAATTGCAAAGATTTCAAAACAAACTTCTTTCACATTGACATTATGTGGTTATCGTTTGTAGAATGTTGAGGGGAAAAATGAATTTAATCCATTTTGGAATAAGGCTGTAAATAACAAAATGTGCCAAAAGTTAAGCGCTGTGAATACTTTCTGGATGCACTGTAAACGCAAAAAAACTGACCGGCAACTCAGATTTCTGTATTATTGTTTTACTGATCAATACACAGAGCATCTTTACAGGCACACTGAAAACAAAGGGCTGCATTTAGATCAGTAAAAAAAAAAACTGTATGCCTGAAAACTGAGCATTTTCAGGAAGCAGTGTGCAAAAGGCCAAAAACATAACACAGAATAAGAGGTAATGTAAAATGTATATGTACTTTCAAGCCCTCAGAATAGCAATAAACAAATCAGTTGAACC